TAGTCAGATCAAAAGTTACAGCAGGAGAAATCCTAGAATGTTTTTGCCATTGGGTTTGCATTTATCTATAAAGACAAAACCATTGTGGATAGTTCCACCCTTTTCATAGCTTTGCAACTTTGGCTATTGTCTCTGTTGGATGAGGACTAGGTACACTGGTATAGCTCCATAAAATCTAATACTGGAAATAATTTAAAAACCTCAAAGTCGATGTCTCCTTAGGTACTTTACTTGCCTAATGATTTCTTCTCTTTTCATACAACCCAAACAGGTATGTAGTCACATTACTGGGAAGAAGAAACTCTCCCTATACTTACACAATGGAGTAATTTTTGCTCTTCTAATTAACCAGCATAAGCCAAATGTTTAAAAGATTTCTTCTGAAACCATGCCTTTAATCAACATTCACATTTTCTAAATTAATCGTTGCTGACCTTAACATGCAGGATGTCTTAAAGACATGTCTCATACAGAAAAAAAAAAAGATAATTTCATTCAGAGAAGTCTACTAACTTATATTTTATAAGTCTTTGGTCATTGTTTTTTTCCTATCACTGCAAAATATGTCCTAGAATTTAGAGCATTGATTCATCACATCTCTGGATAAAAGTCCTACAAGCTTTCTTGAACATCGTCCCCGTATCTCTACAATATAAAAATTAATAGTGACTCATTAACAACATAACAGTGTGCAAAATCTGTAACATTCCATATATCATACAACTTGGGTTTTCCAAGAAAACAGTGGCATACTGTATTTCAGAATATTCTTATGACTTTCTTTTCAAAAATGGGATCATTATAATTATTAAAGGAACCCAAATGTGGGTGGTTTATATTGAAAAATCAAAGGAGTTCCCAATGGGAAATACTTTGCAATGTACTTCAAGAATTCAGTGAAAATAATGTCTTCTTTAAGAAACTGTAACTCTGGGGAAACTCAAAGATAGAATCTAGCCCAATTTTACAATGAGAAACAAAAGCTTTTCTAACAGATAAAAAAGAACACTGTCTACGATATGTACAGCCAGGGACTTAAAGGGACTTATGAACTACCTCTTTGTGAGGGAAATAACTTTATCATCTACAAAGTTCTATCACTCAACATCTTCTCACCTAAGGTGCTGAAGGTAAATGCTCTTCTAGGAGCAACCCAGAGCTCTAGCATCAGACCAGTGATGCACAGGCCAGCTGCCAGGTGGGCCAAGCGGTTCACCTTGAAACTTTGGTCCTGTATGTCTGACTCTGCTTCTTGAACTCCCTTATTCTGTGACTTGTACTTCTGTATTCAATGGTAGAATCCTAATTATGTTCACTTTTTTTCTCCCTATGTCAATTTGGATTCTATGCTCCCTATATTTATTTTCCTTCCTATATTTATTTCATGTTAAACTGATTGTAGAATTTAAAAAATGTTACTGCTTCAGACAGATGGTCAACAGGCACATGAAAGATGCTCAAATCGCTAATTACCAGAGAAATGCAAATCAAAACTACAATGAGGTGTCACCTCACTCCAGTGGGAATGGCCATGATTTAAAAGTTCACAAACAATAAATGCAGAAGAGGGTGTGGAGAAAAGGGAACCCTCTTACACTGTTGATGGGAATGTAATTTAGTGTAGCCACTGTGGAAACAGTATAGAGATTCATCAAAAAAAAAAAATAAAAACAGAGTTATCATATGATCCAGCAATCCCACTCCTGGGCATGTAACTGGAGAAAACTCTTTGCACCCCAATGTTCATAGCTACACTATTCACAAATGTCAAGACATGGAAGCAACCTAAATGTCAATCGATAGATGACTGGATAAAGAATATGTTTTACACACACACACACACACAAGGAATACTACTCAGCCATAAAAAAGAATGAAGTAGTGCCATTTGCAACACAGATAGACCTAGAGATTTTCATACTAAGTGAAGTCAGTCAGACTGAGAAAGACAAACATCCTAGATCACTTATATGTGGAATCTAAAAAAGTGATACAAATTAACTTATTTACAAAACAGAAATATACTCAGACACAGAAAACAAACTTATGGTTACCAAAGGGGAAGAGGGTGGGAGGGATGAATTAGGAGTTTGGGATTAACAGATACAAACTACTATATATATAACAGATAAACAAGGTCCCACTGTATAGCATAGGGAACTATATTCACTATGTTGTAATAACCTATAATGAAAAATATGAAAATGAATAGATATATGTGTAAGTGAATCACTATGTTGTACACCAGAAATTAACACAACATTGTAAATCAACTGTATTTCAATAAAAAAAGTTACTGCTTCAGCTTGAAAGAACCAACACTAAAATTCTGAAGTCCACCTAGTTCAACCCTTAAAAAACAAACAAAAACTCAGGGAAAAAACTGTGCGGCAGAGAATGTCTTTCCCAGAGTACTATAGCTAGTTACAGAGAAAATTGGAATTCCTTACAATAAAATTTCATATATTGGTGTCCCAATTCTATATTCAAATGTTCTCTTCTCGTTCATGAATTTTAATTGGTCATCCAGATGAATGAATCTAGATGAATGAATTTAAAGGGAAGAGTGAGAGCTTTGCTCCACATCCTCCTTCCATACATACTCACTATGAACTGCAGGCTGGAGACTTATTAACCCCTTTTAGGGATGTGTGCTTAAGTGGAGACAAGCTAAATACGTGACAACAACAGAGAAATATTCCACTATGTAACCATCCCTGGACATGCTATTCAGACTGTATCAAGTGAAAATACATTTCAGGGAGGACCGACTTAGAGGGCCAGAATGGCAGTGAACAGAAGACAAATTTTAACACAGAGGGAGTACAAGTTGGAGGCTGGCTGTGACAATCAGCAACCTCTTCTTAATGGGGTTCATGAACAGCTTAAAGTGTCAGCAAACTTCTCCATAAAAAATATCAAAATACTAATTTTATGATGGAAGAATAAGTTTCTTTTTCTAATAGGTCCTGGTTTAGAAGACTTACTGCATTCCCCACCCCCTTGCCATTTAAGATGAGAAAACTGTAACTCACCTTGTTGCTGAACGAACCATGAAAAATTTTATAGAAAAGTTTACAGATAGGCCTTGAGTCTATTACCGTAACTGCCCAGAAGGCACCTACATTTTTTCAAAACTCCTGCTGTAACCCACCTACCATACAGATTCCTCTAGTCTTTCATGTCACTTCTGTACTGAAAAAAATCAAGAACTGTGGTAGATGAGGGTTATTTCTTCAGTAATTATCACTCCTGCCCCTCCCTACTTTATAGGGGGAGTACACTTTCATGCCATGCCCCATTGCTATTGGACTCAGTCATGTGATTTGCTTTAGCCAATGTTATGTTGGCACAGCTGACTGTGTGCTACTTCAAGACAATGCCTTAAGAGGCACTGCCTGCTTTACTCTGTTCTCTGGGAGCTTCTGACCTCTACCACCTTTAGAAGAGCAGACCCAGGTAGCCCTTTGGTACAAGCATGACACGCAAGTGGACCAGGTCTGAATCAAACTCAAGGCCTGCAGTCAAGCCCGGCTGAGCTCTGCCTGTATCAGCTAAACTTCAGCAGAATCACAGAGAAATCAATTCTTATTATAACCACCGAGACTTTTGTGGTGGTCAGTAGCACTAGCTCACTGACACAATGATTATTACATATATTATTCTATTTGTTGCTCTGTAAATCTCTGCTGTTTTTCCATTTGTATATATTTTGCCTTCCCACCAGATTGGCAGACACTTGTGCAGTTTGATACATGTATTTACCTTCTGTGGCACCCCCATAATGCAAACCACTGGAACTACATAATATATCCTAGTTTCCAAAGCCAGTGTTTTCCTTGTACTGCACACCGGAGTTAAGTCTTTACTGTACCAGTGATAACTCTCAGCAACAAGTATATTTCAGTAGCAATTTCAGGGTATGTTTTAGAAGCAGAGGTTAAGCAATTCAACAGGATAATCAGAAGAACCCCGCAAGGGGAGAATCCTTCATGGGGGGGCATCACTGGCATTTCAGACACTTTTCCATTTGTGGTAGAACAATTTTTGCACGTAAATGAAAAGGCCATCTTGTTCTCAAGACAAAATAGCTGATTTTAGTAGTACAAGGCCTGAAAACCCCTTTACGGAGAGAGTACTGTTTTCCCACTGGATTTCTCTAAGAATCCGGTATTTAGACCAGGCTAAGAGCTGATATATTTACTATTACTGTTCACAAAAGGGCACAGATCAAGTGGGGCAGCCGCAAGGTGACCTTTACTTGTGCCCAGTCCAGCCTTTCCCACACATTTATAGTAAGACACACAGTCCCGGAATTTATTCTGTCTTCCCTGAGGTACGAAGGTCAGAGATCTATGACAGAGCTCAAGGAAACTCAGGGTGTGATGAGAGAAAGAGAAACAAGGGAGCAAGTGAGAAGAGATGGCATCTGCGCACAGGTCAGCTCTGTAGGTCACAGCAGGCAGGGGATCCAATAACAGAGCTATAGACAGAGCACTGAGTCCCCGCAACACTGTGACAGTGACTTCCCTGCCTGAAACGGTGTTCTCGCCCCCTAATCTGAACTGAAGTTTCCAGTTCCACTGAATTTGCAACGTCTAGGCAAAGAATCAGGGGAAAACAATCTAGAATTACTTACTTTGATAGATAATCTCATCTTTGCCATTTCCACTCTGTATCAACCCAAAATGGAAGGCAATAATATATACCAATGTACGTAAGTCATAGTTGCCACACATTGTTAGTGTCAGGAAAAAGTATCCAGCTAGTTTTTTGAGGTGAACTTTCTTTACTCATCTAACTGGGAAACAGTTTAACGTTTCCAAGTAACACGAAGTCTACTACTGGCTGACAGGCATTTACAGCATTACAGATCATTTAAAAATATATTCAGGGCGAGGGTAAAGAAATCACAGCAACTCCCAAATTGTATCTATCGCTGGCAGGAGATGAGTGCTTAGCCAGTGTGTTGAAAAGATTTAATTACATCTCTTTCTTACCTTGAATGTCTGAATCAATTTGACAGGCTGCTTAAAGCAACGGGTGTCTAAAGAACAAACTCTTCCTGAGGCTGGCGAAGTGAGTCTCTCTAACAGTAAGAATTATTAATAGCAAATTAATGATTGTCAAATCTAGGGCTCAACCATGACAGAGCTCTGTTGGAACTTATCATAGTCTTTCTGTGTGACATTTTTAGCTTTAGATGTTTGCCTGTTCTGCTCCTCGAAACCCTCACATGTAGAATCTTGGTATGTCATTTGGGGAGCACCCCTAGTTAAGATCCCTGCAACCTGCCTAAGCAGGGAAGAAAGATGAGGAAATAAAAGACATAACTTGTTTTGGTTTTGGAGCTTTTCCTAATTTATCCAGTGTTAGCAAGATGCCTCCCCTTTGCAAAAGAGCTAAACAAACTGGCACAGATTCTCCAGGGCTTCAAAGAAAAATGAGAACAAATCCTAAGGAATTTAGGTTACAGAAGGTAGTTTTAACAACAACAACAAAAAAATCAAAACCTTTGGTATTCGACAGTGTTTTAATCCTTGGCTTTTCACAGTCATTTGTCATGCTCGCCTCAAGACACTTTTAAGGGCAGGAATGTTTTAGGATATTTTCGAGGCTATGGAAAATACTTCCCTATTAACGGATTGCTGCAAAGTCTGTACAAGATTCTTTAAGAATATCTGTACCTTTTCTAGAATCCTATTGTTCTCGAAATAAGAAGTCTTTTCCTCGTCATTCCTCCCGTAGGCACTTGGAATTAGAATTTGTTGAAAAGAAAGGCATCAGAGCTTCTTTTCGTTTTTCCAAGCTCAGGAAGGAGGGGAAGTATGGAAACCGTGGCTAGGCTGGAAATCAATGGAAAATGTGTTATGGTTTTACAACAAATCAAGTAGCACAGATTTGCTTTGTGTTTGGGAGTTAATCTACACTCTCTAAAAATGCCCCAGAAGCCAGTTAGAGCAACTGAAAGACAAGTCTTTGCTGGAACCCCCTAGAGAGAACACACTGCAGTGTCACACAGCTCCCATCAATGAGTGGGAGACATCATCTTAAACCTTAAACCGTGTGTTTTGAAACACATGCCAATTGCTCTAATTCTTGCCATTAACAACTTCAGAATTAGCTTACAGATGGTCATCTCCATAAAGTAGTGGGAAACAGGCAAGAATGGTAGCTTTTCCACTTTTTTTTCCTTTTTGCAGCTGAACGCAAGTGAACTGGGAGCCTCGGCATCACGTGGGAAATACAACTATACTGATGGAAGTGTATGTCTGGCATTAATAATTCAGACAAAGTGATACACATTCAAGGGTTTGAGAGAAGCTGGAAATAAACTTTGAAAGGATGAAAGCTGGAAGCTAAAATGTTGAAAATTTCCATGGCCGTTTAAAAATTCATATAAACCAGTACATAACTTCAAATCAACAACTTGGGGTCCAAATTCTAAAGACTGGATTTTTTGCCCCAGTTCCAAACAACAGTCCTGGATATAAAACTGGAATAGGCCTCAAATCTAAGAAATTGAGATTGAAAGATAGTGGAGCTGTTTCTTTTAAAGCTGAGACAATAAAGAATTAGCCATTTCTTGTTATATTACATACTGCCCCCTCTAAAACCAAAACCTAACAGTGAGGACTGCTATATTTCTTCCTATTGTTCTAAGTGGTATAGTGTTTTACAGCAGAATAAGATTCTGCCCAGAAATAAAGGAGAAGGGAAGGACCACAGCAAACACTAAGTTGGCTAGAAAGAAATGCCCTGCTACCTCTCTACAGCGGAAGAGGTGAGGTAGATAATTCCCACTAGAGACTGGGCCCCAAATCCTTTTTATTTGGCTCGGAGGTACACTGCAGGCAGTTTACAGTTTTATATCTTCTCAGCCCTACTTCTTTCAGGCCAATATTCACATGGAGGAGTACCCAATTACATGGGGGAGGGGAAACATTAGAGGGGACCAAACAGCTCAGAAAGCAGGGAAATGATCAACAGGAATTAAATATCTGCTGTCATGACCCCAGTGGCAGATAACCCACGAAAAAATATTTAGAGGTCAACTTGTTTACGCCATATGCTCCTGGATCGCTCATTGAGTACCTGCCCCCACGCCCCAAATGTGAAGGAATGTGGCTTTCTATGACTAAGAAAAACCAGCTCTAGGAAAGATTTTCATCATAATAATGGTTAGGAAGCATGGACATAGAACAAATGCTGGGTCACATGTTATTTCCGAAAAATCTAGCGCTTTAAATTACAGCACTCGAAATTCAGGCACCGCATGGGAAGCTTAACAGAAGAAATTTCCTTGGAGACAGTCCTTCCTTGACTACTTCTTAAATGAAATAAGCCCCATTTCACCCACCTGGCAAAATAATGCGATGTCTTGGCTTATACTTAATTTTCTTCCTCTCTAGGTTCTGGACAGCCACACAACTCTTGTCATCACTCAGAAGGGCTCCATTTTCAAAGTCTCTAAACCTGAAATCAGTCTCTCACTAGAGACTTCTCTTTCTCCACCCATTTCACTTCTTTACCCACTTCTTCACAGACAGTTCTCATCAAGTATCTCCTCCCACTCCTACCAGATGTCCTTGATTAGAACTTTTCAGCAACTGCCAAACTCCTTAACAAGGTACACAAGGCTCTCCACTGATCTGGTCCCACCAACCTTTCTATTCTCACCCCTGCCTCCTATTGAGTTACATTACTCATATCTTGTTTATGCTGAATGCTGTTGCTAATGTTCCAAAAGCATGTCTCACTCTCTACAATAACATGCTAAAAAGCATCGTTTCCTTAGTGCCTAGCCAATGGAAACTGACCTCTCTGCCTTGGCATCTAATGTCCTCCATATCAATTTCAGGATTTTGCTACCCTATAATAGAGAATTTAGTAAATATTAAATATTAACTCTGAACTTGGGAATCAAGGGCAGGGATGAGCACACATAGGCTCAAGTGGCCTCAGCTGTGAGAAGGGGAAAAGGCAAACTGCAGGGTCAAGGAATCTGTTTAGACTGACGCTGAAAATGTTTTCACATATATATCTCATGCATACTTTGTCACACAGACATTTTTACACTGAGCAAACCAAGAACGAGAAAGTTAAAGTAACTCCTCCAGAATTACAAAGCTTGTAAATGTCAGAGGCAGGTTTCAATGCCAGGCATCTTTAGTCCAGAGCCCCCTCTATTTCTGAAGCACAAAGTCGGGTTCTAGTATTTATTTCCACATTGATTGTTTCTTTCATCACAATCCTACTTTTATTTCCAGGTCCACACAAAATTCACAAAGACTTCCTTGAACTGCCCAACAATATACTGTCATTTATTTCTTGGAGAACTATCTGCATATGATAGAAATATCCTCTATCTTTGTTGTCCAGTATGGTAGCCACTAGCCACATGTGGCTATTAAGAACTTGAAATGTAGCCAGTGAGACAGAGGAGCTAAAGTTTACATTTAAATGTAATTACATTAACTAGCCACAGGTGACTAGTGCGTGTGTGGCTCTAGGTATCTGCTCTTCGAAAGTGGTCAGTCAGCATTGGCAACACCTGATTACCGTATCGTTCCACATGTTGAATCTCAAGCCCCACCTCAGGACTGCTAAATCAGAATTTCAAACCATCTCTCCAGTTGATTCATCTGCACTTTAAAGTAAGATAAACACTGCCCTAGAGCATTTGTTAGCAATCACATGGCTTAAAAAAAAATCACACTTTGTATCGTTTCATCACACAGGCTCCTGGAGGGAAAGAAACATCCTATTCACATAGCTAAGCAACTATTTGTTCAGTGGAAGGTAGCACAAGTCCTTAAAGACGCTATTTGGTATTCCTTCTGGCCACAAGCCTTCCTGCTTGCTGGAGAACGGACAGCACTTTTGGTCACGCTCCCTCCAGTGTGGCGGAGCCCCGGGAGCCCTTCGGGTTACTTGCCTGTCTGGTTGTTTGGTTATCCGCTGCAGCAGACCACCAGATAGCTTCCGCGCTAGGGACACCAGAGTCCTTTTGGCCACCCTTGCAGTGTGGACTGATGGAATCTTTTGCCCACATGCCACCTGACCTTTCAAGGTTCTGGATGTCTTCTGGCCATCACTCTGCCTCAGCTCCGGCTATAGGGTCTCATGTGGGACTCTACCTGTATGCTCACGAAGGAAACTTGGGGCTTTTTGTATGCATCGGCCTGAGAGCCTGGGAAATATTGGTTCTCTCTGGCCACCGGCGATGCCTTGCACTGGTGCCCTGGGGGTCCTTCTGGGTGCCTTCCAGGGACTAGCCAACTGTAGCACCTGGGTTCTAGACTCCTTTGGGCGGCTAGCTTTCTGGCTTGCAAAACAAGTGAGCGAGGTTTTGGCCACCTTTACTCAATGGCACTGGTGCCTCAGGAACCTGTCAGTCATTAGCTTGCCCTCCCCTGGGACGGTGTGAGCCACAAGCCTGCTAGCGTACTTGGAAGGTATGGTTCCTTTTGCTTACCGTGTTACCGCCCTGGTCCTCCAGGAGAAGCCGGCTGGACACGAGCCTGAGCACGCGCGGTACGGTTCTCTTCTGGCCGTCACGGGCTTTCCCTCTGCTGTGGAATGGAGAGCACTTTAGGTCATTTCCCATGAGCACTGTCGCACCAGGGGCCTATTTGGTCACTACCCTGTCCGCCTTTCTGGGATTCTTCAGTCCCCACGCTTGCCTTCATGCTGGGAAACTATCACTCCTGTCGCTCACTGCAGTTTTCTAAAGGTGTTGCCGCACGGTACCTTCCGGGCACCTGGGCTAAAGTTCCGGTGGTCCTTCAGGCTTTCAGCTCCCCTTTTGCTGGGGAAATGGAAAACTTCATCCACTTTCCCCACAGTGCTTAACCACACGGTAGGGTTCTGGGGATACTTTAGGCCATAAGCCTACTGGCGTTCTGGGAGAAACGTGGCTCCTTTCGTCCACCCTAATACCTTGATGGTGGGGCCTTCTGTGACTTTCCCGGCGTCAGTTAGCCCTAGTGCTGGGGTGCCGGTATGCTTCATGCCGTCAGCCTCCCATTTTCCTGGGGAACTTAAGCACTTTCAGTCACCTTCCCTGCAGTGCGGAGAGTCTCAAGAAGGCCTATGTTCTCAGTAGCCTACTCTGCCGCGGAGGTTTCAGCGATCTTTTCGAACACAATTTTGCCTGCGAGCTGCGGAAGTTTGGCTGCTGTAGGCTACCGTAGAATCCTCTCACTGGTGCTTCTGAAGAACTATCCGGGTACCATCCTGTCCTCGTGATAGCGTTCCGGTAGCTCTTAGGCTCACCTTCCTTCCCTCCGCTGGGGAAAGGGGTGGACTTTCAGCCCTCTACCCTACACCATGCTGATTCTCCAAGGGCCCATCTGGTCACTAGTCTGCCCATACCCTGGGATTTCTGAGATCTTTTGGACTACAAGCCTGCCTGAGGAACCGTGGCTCCTTAAGGTTACACCCATTACTTGCGATGGTGCCGTAGGGCAACCGTCCGGGCATCAGCCTACCTACGTACTATGGTTTCTCATGTCCTTCGGGCCCTCAGTTATACCCATTGCTGAGGAACCGAGGTCACTTTGGACTACCTTCCCTGTAGTGTGCTGATTCCCCGTGGGGGTGAAAGGAGAGAGGGACACCTGGTCATCTCCCTACCTGCCACCTGGGGTCTCGGAGATTTCTATGCGCTTAAGTTTCCCCACATGTTGGGAAAACCTGATTCCTATTAGCCACTGCCCTGCCCTCATACTGGTGCCTCCGGAGAATTAATGCTTGCCAGTGTGCTAGGGAACCTCTAGTTCTTAGGCTTACCAGGCTTCTCCCTTGCTGGAGAAATGGGTGAACTATTTGGCCACCTGCCCTGCGTGTGCTGATGCTTGGGGAGGGGCGGGAAGGGAATTCAGTTACTAGCCTTCCCTCCTCCCGAGATTCCTTGGGCCGCAGGCCTGCCTACGTGCTGGGGAACTGTGGTTCCTCTCGTCCAGAATCTTATGCTTGCCCTAGTCTCCCTGGCAAACCTTCCAGCTGCCAGCCTGCCCCTGTGCTATGTTTCTAGTTGTCCTTTCAGCTATCAGCCCGTCACTGGTGAACTGAGATCACCTTCAGCTGCCTTACTTGCAGCGCACAGCTGTCCTGAGTGCCCATCTGGTCACTAACTTGCCTGCCCTCTAGATTTTCTGGGATACTTTAGGTCACAGGCCTGCCTATAATCGTGTCCTTATGCTGGTGCCTTTGGGGAAATTTCCCTGTGTCAGTCTGTGGGTGGGCCTTCCCCTTTGCTGCGGAACACAGATCACTTTAGGTCACCTTCCCTGCATAGCACTGATGCCCTGGGGCCCATCTGGTCACTAGCCTACTTGCCCCCTGAGATTCCTGGGATCCTTAGGGACACAAGGCTCCTTACATGCTGCGAAACTGTGGCTCCTTTTGTCTACATCACTTCCTCCTAATGGTGTCCTGGAGGGACCCTCTGAACACCTACCTGCCCAGTGCTATGGTTCTGGTGGTCCTTGGGCCACCTGTCTTCCTGCTTACTGGAGAACCAAAGGTACTGTGGGCTACTTTCCTTTAGATACAGTGGTGCCTTGGTGACCCTTCGGTTTTCTTACCTGTTCTGTGCCATGTGCTGCAGTTCCAGTGTTCCTTCTGGCCATCAGGATTCCCTCTTGCTGGGGAATGGAGAACACTTTCAGCCATCTTTCCTGATGCCCTGGGGGAATGTAAAATGGTGCAGCAAGAGTCGAAAACAGTTTGGCAGTTCCTCAAAAAGTTAAGCATAGAGTTACCATATGACTTAATAATTCTACTCCTAGGTATATACCCAAGAGAATTGAAAACATGTCCACGCAAAAACTTGTACACAGTCATAGCAACATTACTCACGATAGGCAAAAAAATGGAAACAACCCAAAGGAAAACTAATGAATGCATAAACAAAATACAGTAGATTGATACAATGAATATTATTCAGCCATCAAAAGGAGTGAAATACTGATACATGCTAGAGCATGGATAAACCTTGAAAACTTTACACTAAGTGAAAGAAGCCAGGCACAAAAGATCACATATTATGATTCCATTTATGGTAAACTCAAGAATAGGCAAATCTATACAGTACAGGCAGAAGTGAAATAGTGATTACTAGGGAATCTGGGGAAGGGGACATTTGGAAGTATATAGTATCTTTTAGAGCGGATGAAAATATTCCAGAATTAGATAGTGGTAATGGTTGCCAACATTGTAAACAGCAAAAACCTGTACTCAGTTGGATAGTTTAAAATGGTGAATTTTAAGAGTGTGTGTGTGTATGTCTATGTATGTATATTCATTCCAGGATCCCAGCTCAGAAATCCATTGTTTTCAATAGCTTTCTATGTGATTTAGATAGAGATGTTCCATGGGCTAGTGTCTGAGAATCAGAGTGAAAAACCATGGGTCCTAGGGATAATTGCTTTAAACTTATTTTCTAAACATAAAACTTGCTATTTACCAAGGAAACAAATCAGTTTTTCAAAGATGTGGGTGAAACATAATGATTTTCACAAGATCATTTTGGAATTTCTTTTTAAAAGGATTTTATAGGATTGAACTCTGCACAGTGTCAGGGAGTCCCTTGGAACAATGTGCAGTACAGTCTACTGGAGCTCTCCTACTGACCACTTGGTAAAGTGATACTAGTGGAGTGATCTTTGTGTATAGAACTAAAATCAATCCCACTGTAGTTTCTTGCCTGATGAGAAACTAAATGAAACACTAGTGGACTAGAGCAGGAGAAAGCCAAAAGAAAAAGAGCAGGGTTAAGGAACACCTTTGCAAATCCTCTTCCACAACCTTGGGCTTGGCCTGTGAGCAACAGCTCTTCCAACAGTGCTCATTCTGAAATATTACTTCAAAGTCACAGCTGTAATCAGATAATGAGATCATGCAACTGAAGTCCCCATGGTTTATATCAGCAAAAGAGATGTTATCCCTGCAACTTCAATTGCCAAAAGGACTGCATTTGAATTCTTAAAACAAAAAACATTTCTGAATTATTATCAGTATAAGAAAATGGACACAAACACTGGCTAAATCTAATAAAGTAACATTACAGCACAAAAATCATATTTCCCCCATTTTATTTCATTTTACAGGATGAAAAAAATGTTCTCCAATTGCTTCACTTGCTGTCATATTGTGTTTCAAGTCCCATTTTGTTGCTCCTTAGCCGCCTTTTATGGCCCCATTTTTCTCTTAATTTATTCAGGTAGTTATAAAATTGCTTAAAGTGTCCTTGGCTCTGGGAATATGAAGACAAAAACAAAACAACCAAAAAAATACAATTCCTATTTCCAATAAAGTGATACAGAATAATAGGAAAGCGTGGAAGGTGGTAGGTAGTGAATGAAGAGATAGGATTGTTTAGTTTTTCACTTTCAGGGAAACTTTTCTATAACCTTATGTTGTTTTTATGAACCTTAATTTTGAGATAGTAGTTTTAAAATGGGTATTCTAAGGTTTAAAACAATTTCTTACCATTGCTTCCCCCTCCACCGAGACTATATGGACAGGTCGATGTTGGGATTACAGAGGGGAGTCTGTTACTGTCCTAAAAATGGATTTAATGCTTTTTTTAATTGAAGTATAGTTGATTTACAATGTTGTGTTAGTTTCAGGTGTACAGCAAAGTGATTCAGTTATACAAACATATCCTTTTTCAGATTCTTTTCCATTATAGGTTACTATGCCTTTTTTTTTTTTTTTTTAATGGCTGTAGGAACAGCAAGAAGATGTCTGGGTAGAAGAACCTGTTTTCAGTTATTTAACCTGTTTCCTATTTTTCAGCGAGAACTTTTATTTTCCAGCTGTAGTAATGTTAATCACCAACCTTTTAAGGAATCCAACCTCTTAGGCCTACGGTAAAAAAAATCCTGCCAAAAACCCCTTGTCTTTTGCGATTTAATAAGGCCACCACACATTTTTTTTTTCTTATGGATTTTCCCCCATCAAGACTAGCTGTGGAGTAGCAGGAGGTTCTCTGCTTCTTTGCATCTTAGAATACCTAAAACCAATAATGCACGTTAACTAACTCCTGAAAGAAGATACTAACACAGAGCATGTAACAATATAATAGAAGAATAACCCACCACAGTAAAGTAGGGCTTATCTCAGGAATGCAGGACTGATAAAGGACATGCATTACTATAATTATGTCGATAACACAATAGCTGCAGGAAGACATTTGCTAAAATTAAACATTTAAAGGTATTTTTAAAAAAGGAATGGAAGGTTTTTCCGTTAATGTATATAATTGATAGTCCTTATCATAAATCTGTCGTCATTATAGTCAATAGCAGATCTCTTAGGGAAAGTCCCTGTAAACTCAGGAACAACAATAACAAATATCTATGTTCGCTGGTTTTATATAGTGGCATTTTGGAAATTTTAATTAATGTAGTAAGTCACGTCAAAGAAATAGGAGTAAAAGAAAATAATACCTAAAATTATTATTTTGAGATGACTTGATTATATTCCTAGAAATCCAAGGCATTCAGTTAAGAAGAACAATCTCTAGCATTAATGGAAGCTAATCAAGGTAATAGTGTATAAGTATTCCTAAGTAACTAGTACTCTGTACCTTCATGAAAAAGAGAAATAAAACATCATTTTAAGATTTAAGATAATTTTAAGATATTTCCATTTAATAGAAATATAATGCTCTTAAAAGCAGAAGAAATAAACATAAGAAAAGATGTATAGAAGTTGAATAAATAAAAACCTGCAAAATTTTATTTGTGTATTGAAAAGAGGACCTGAATAAATGGCAAATTGTGACATATTACTAGATGGAAAGACTGAATATTTTCTCATTGTTCTCTCCAAGTTATGTTTTAGGTGACCTGGAACTCCAATTTTAATCTTAAATGATTTTTTCTGAAGTTGACAATTTTATCCTATAGTTCAACTGTGAGAACAAATAGCTAACATTTGTAAATATACATTTGGAAATAGGGACCTTCACAAAGGGATGAAGAACTCCAGAGATGTTAACTTCATGGGAAATATACAAAAATTTAAAATTTAAATCATAATTTTAATTTTTACTTAAATCTTTAAAAAAGAAAATTAGCTATTTTTCATAGGATTACCATATAATCCAGCAACTCTATTTCTAGATATATCCCCAAAGTTATTGAAAACAAGAACTCAAACAGATATTTATACACCAATGCTCACAGCAGCATTATTCACAAGAGCTAAAAGGTAGAAACAACTAAAATGCCCATTGTTACATGAATGAGTAAACAACACAGGGTATACACATATAATGGAATATTATTAAGCCTTAAAAAGAAGGAAGTTTTGATACATGCTACAACATGGACGAACCCTGAAAACAGTATGGGAAGGTAAGTGAAATAGGACACACAAAAAGGACCAATACTGTATGATTCCACTTATATGAGGAATCTAGGGTAGTCAAATCTATAGAGACAGAAAAAAGAATAGTCATTACCAGGCACTGAGGAGTGGGGTAATGGGTAGTTATCTTTTAATAGGTACTGAGTTTCAGTTTGGGATGATTAGAAAAAAGTTCTGGACATGGATGGTGGTGATTACTGCCCAACAGTGTGAATGTACTTAATGCCACTGAATTGTATATGTAAAATGGTTAAGACAGTAAATTTGATACTATATGTATTTTCCACAATAAAAAAGAGTACTGTTTTAAAAATAATGACAATGTAGTATGGAAACACACACACACATACAGACCTGAAGGGGAGAAATGGAAGTAAACTGTGGTAAAGGTTTTATTCTGTGTGTGAGGCTCTGCACAGTTATGTGTGAGTGGTATACAGTTGAAAGTAAACAGAGATAAGTGAAAGATCTATACTACGAACATAATCACTAAAATAAGTAAAGAGTTATAAGCAAATAATCTAAGAAAGAAGAGAAACTAGAATAAAAATATTTGATTAATCCAAAAGAAAGCAGAAAAAGAGAACAAAGAATAGTTTGGACAAACAAAACACACAGCAAGATAATAGGCTTCAACATAACTACACCAATAATTATATTAAATATAAAAGCTCTAATTGTCCCAATTAGAAGTTAGAGATTGTTAGAGCAGATAAAGATTCAAAAGTCTACAAGAAACACACTGTAAATATAAAGACACAAGTAGGTTAACAAGTAAAAGAATGGAAAAATACACCATGCTAACACTACTCAAATAAAACCTGAGTGACTATATTCATATCAAAGATTTCAGAAGAAAGAATACTATCAAGGAAAAAGATGGTTATTTCATAATCATAACAGTATAAATTCATCCAGAGAGCATTATTATTCTAAACTTTGATACAAAGATGGCAAATTAGCACATGAAAGGATGTGCAATGTCATTAATTATTGGCCACAATGAGATACCATTCCACATCCACTAAGAATGGCTAAAATTAAAAAGACTGATCACACCACATGTTAGTGAGAGTGTAGAAGAACTAGAACTCTCAGACAGTGCTAGTGGGAATATAATATGAGACAACTGATTTGGAAAACAGTTTGACAGCTTTTTAAAAATTTAAAACACTGATGATATGATTCAGCCATCCCACTCTTAGATATTTACCTGAGAGAAATGAAAGCATATGGCCACACAAAGACTTGTACACAAATGTAATAGCCAAAAACATGAAATGAACTATCAACAGAAGAATGGATAAACAATCTAGGGTATATCCCTCTAAGAGAATGCTAGTCAGCAATAAAATGAATGAACCATTGATACACACTGCAACATGGATGAATCTCAAAATACTTATGCTAAGTGAAATAAGCCAGACCAAAAGGGTACCTTCTTTATGATGCCATTTATACAGAATTCTAAAAAGTGAGATCTAATCTACAGTGGCTAGTGATTGCCTGGAGTTGGGAGGAAGGGGTTGTAAAGGGCAGGAAGGACAAGAGGGAGGGAATACAAAAGGGCACGAGAAAACTTTTGGGGGGTGATGGATATATTCATTATTTTGATTATGGTGGTGGAATACTTCAAGTATGTGACATGTATTGTGTGTCAAGTATATTTCAGTAAAGCTACTAAAATATATAGAACATATTGCATATACATTTATATATAAATAAAGTCATTTTGTATCTTAAGATAGGAAAAGGACAATGATAGACAACATATAAAATTGGGATACTCATTAGCAAATGGACAATGATAAAATGAATGTACATCATGCTAAATACGAATGAAAAGTTATGTATAAATAAACTTGTAAATAAAGGAACAAAATCTAAAAAACATAAAATGGAAAGAAATTGAATTGTATTGATTATTTATTGAAAACTTTGCAGAGGATGCTGACTTTCTAAGTATAGGAAAGATAGAAATAGTCACAAAGAAAAAGGTGGACAAATAGTTCTGTATATTCTTGACAAAAGAAAATAAAAAGCCATCTGGGAAAAATACTTGCAGCAAAAAAATGAGAGATCAAGATGAACATTTCTAATTTATAAAGGGTCCAAGCAAATGGATCAATTCTAAGATCAGCAAGTAAACAGGAAAACGATGTGAACAGATAATTCACAAAAGAGAAAACGGAACAAGTAAATGCTCAATAAAAAACAGGAAACATTTTTTATTAACCTAATTAGTAAAGCCTTAAAAATGAATGCTGGTAAATATGTGTTAAATCTGATACCCTTCTGTATTACTGCTGCTTTGAATGTTAACCTACGTTTTATACAATGTAACAGCTTTAGTTTTTAAGAACTATACAACTATTCAAATCCTTTGATATTGTAATTTTCCTTCTGGGACTTTAGCCTAAGGAAATAATCCAAATTCTGGAACAGTCTTATGCATTAAGATATTTTTCAAATAACAATGAAAATTAAAAGCAGTCCAAATAGCTAAAAGAGGAGACTTGCTAATTAAATTAGCGTATAACTGCTCAATGGAATATTTTATAGGCATTAAACAAAACACAGACACTATATAACACTATGGAAAAGGCATATAATATAATGCTAGGTTTAAGAGCATGATACTAAATTTTATGCACTCTGTGGTTAAAATAAAGTATTTGAATGCACCCAATGTGACTGATAAATATAAAACTGATAGCAGTAGATTGGTGGGTAGTTTATCTTCCTGTTTTTTTTTAACCTAAATGTTCTCATATTATTTTTATATTAAAAATTGAAACAGTTCATGATAAACTATTTTATAGTAAGTGACATATAAATGCCAGGAATCTTTGAAAGGCATTTATGGGTAAGTAGCCATATAAACATGAGAGCTTTTGGTGTACAAGCTGAGCATTTTGGGGTTAGTTTTCTGGAACTCATTTTCTTCCTGAGTATACTGATTTCGAAGGGCCCTCTAAATCTCAGATTTTTACGATTCTCAGTACTCTATCAATATTAATTAAGTTAAGCTTGGTTTCCACTGATTTTCTTTGTCTATTTGTGGACTACAAAGTGCTAAACCAATCAGTTTATACAAACTGATGTAATTGATCAATTCAATGAAAAAAGTCAAAGTGCTAATTGTGCATTATATTGTCTCAAAGAAAGTTAAATGGACCTTGGTTCTTTAAGGGATTCTTTCACACTTTGTTTAAACCTTGAGGTGACATATAGGCACCAGTGAGGATCTGGCTATTCCTAACAGATTAAAAATGAAAATTTTCAGAGGTCTAAGGGCCACCTTGTATTGCAAATCACACTAATTTCTAATCCTATTATAATTCTAGATAGCTCAGATGGAAAGAATTATTAGATCTTTGCTTAGTGTGCTTCTTATTAACCCTCAAAGTGGCTTTCTTTGACCACTTTTTCCAAAATAGCCAGCCCCCTGTTCTAATGCCACATCCCATAATCTTATTTCATTTTTGTGCCGCACTTACTGCTATTTGAAATTATTTATCAATTTGTTCAATGTTTAATCACATGATCTTATCTGTTTTATTGACTGAAATATCCTCTGGGTCTACAACACCATTTAGTACACAGAAGGTATTCGATGAATAATTGTTGAATAAGTGAGTGAATGAATTTGACACCAGTAATGGTAAGGAACTGCCATAGCAGGACTGAAACCTATTATCTAGGACAAGATGAAGGTTAGGAAAGACTCACCCAAATCCAGAGTTGGGACCAAAGAGGACGGCCCAATGGCATGAAACAATCCCAATCCTCGTTGTGGAAAATGGTTAGCATCAGGGTATTCAACAAGATAGTCTTGTGCATAATGGGAAATCTTTACTATTCTGTGATTAAGAACTAGGGTGAGAAGGTCAGGCAGTTTGATCATCACAATTCTTAGGCTCATTTTGGAAACTCAGGAATCACCAAATCTTAGAGGTAGGTGAGGGCTGGCATCTCTCCTACAACTTGGTAATAAAAGAAAGTCTAAGACCAAATCCTGCTACCCATTCATAGCTTATTAACAGACATTTATTAATAAGCAGGCAAGAAAAGCCATATAATCCCAAACTAAAGAAACCCTAGGTTCTGTCATTTCTGGTAGTCCACAAGTAACATACATAAAAGGTTCACCTGAGAGAAATACAAAATTACTGTAGTGGTGGGGCTGACTAACCATCGACTATACAAAGATGATCAGGAATATTCCAGAACAACTGGGTTCTGTGCCAAAACTAATGATAAATATAAAGGGCTTGCTGGATTCTCATACTTTGTTTACTCAAAGATGGATGGTATCTTTAAAGTATTTTAGCCAATAAATACATCTTGAATACCACCAACTGCACCTATGAGAGCCCATTTCTAACATTGCTTAGCCTAATTAGCAAGCTATAAATTTCACTAATGAAAATCCATTTCTACCATTGATTAAACTAATTAGCAAAACTTCTAGTGTTGATGGAAGATAAAGATAGTGAGGTTATTTGTAGCAGCCATCCCTGGAATGACCTTTCTTATTGTTACCTCATCATTTCTGGGATATGGATTCTTGATTAGGATCATTGCTCCTAAGGGTAGATTAAAACTGACACATTTGTATCATGTAGCCTTTGCTGGTGTATTTTAAAGAAAATTACAGACATTGTAAATGGTATCTCTGTTCAAAAGCAAGGGGGCCTTAGGAGGAAATATTGAAAGATATGAAGCTACAAGGAGCAAGAAGGGATTTAGGGCAGTTAGCAATCTCATGTCAGGGCAGAAAGCTAGCCAGGTAACTGACCAGTCCATAGGGGTGGCACTAATATAAGAGGGTCCTACCTAGAAGAGGGAAAAAAGGCAGAGGTGAGACATTAAATCAGGGCCAACAATGATAAGCAGAAAATCTTTACTCTGATCTTGGCACTGGAGAGTCTGAAGGGTCCTGGAAGTCAAAAATTATGTGAAATCATGAATTAATAAGTCTCACTGCTTTATGAAGGAAATGATGAGAAATGATAAGGGTTAAAATTCTTTGAGCTTATATGTATGTACATAGGAATTACTCTTATCTGAAGTCCAGGTTATAAATCATATTTCATTGTAACTTTTTTCCTTTGTAATCTGATATATTTAATTTTATGACTTTAAAAACATTCTTAGATGTGTCCACAGGCTGTCAAAGGATTTCATAGCATAAAAAATGTTAAGAACTCCGTGTGTGTGTGTGTGTGTGTGTGTGTGTGTGTGTGTTGAAAGACCACTATGAGGTCTCAGAAGTTGAGTGAAACTAAATCTATGGGTATGTTAGGGTGATTATCAAAAGATCCATCAACCTGGAACAGAGGGAGATGAAGCAGATGTTGGGGTAAGAGGCAGGAACCAGCCCTGCCATTTATATCCAAATGAAATCAAATGAAGTTTAATCATAGCGGGGGGAAAGCTGCCATAAGAGGCTAATATTCTTTGGGGGAGGTATGTAAGAGAGACTGGAATGTCTGTAGCTGAACCTCACCTAACAAAGCAGCTCATCTTCTTCTTTTAGAGTCCACATCCAGAAACTGTGTCTTAGAAGCCAACCCATGGACACACATTCAACCGCAAGTGGTTTATTCCGGGTGTGATCTCAGTAGAGGACACTGTAGAGGAGCTGGGAACAGACAAAAAAGTTGTATTATTACTACTGTGGACAACTGGAACTTAATCTCACTGGGGAACTCTGGGACTCAGAGTAGGACAATACCTGAGAGATAATCCCACCTGAGGGACAAGGGCACTGAGATATTTATGTACCAACTTCAGTCTGTCACTAGTCAAAGGCTGTTCTTATAGGGAGGCATTTATTTGGGGGCATTTCTGGCCTCATGTTTATATGGGGGAATAGAAGCATGGAGGAGTTTAAGTCCAGAGAAAGCCCAAGGGCAAAGAAAGGCAGATGCTGCCAGTTGGCAGGCCCTGAAATGGTAAAGGCTGAGGAGATCTGGGTGTGGTGGTTGGAGGCGTGGAGATCGGCCATACTTGATAAGTAACAGTTGCAATTAACTGTACATAATAGAATGTTAGAAGTCAGATTAAGGGTGCATTCAGATTTTGTGCACCTTCTCTCCTTGTTTCAGCTTTCTTAACCACTGCTGTGGCCCTCCTCCTCTGGGGCAAAGATAAAGAAGAGGTAGGGAGTCAAAAATTTCTTCTCCAAAATGATTTTTATAGTTCCCAGAGTCTGAGCCGTAGATCCTTGGCTGTAAGCAGAAGTAAACATTGAGGCTGTACCCAAAGACTGCAGTGCTATTTGTCTTCATTACCAGTGGGGGTAGAGTGGGAGTGGAATTAACTACAGGTTGAACATATAAGGCACTTAGAGAGCCACTTCTCACCAGGCAGAGGAGGGACAGTCTCCCGTTCAGCTGAAAGCTCACCGTGTTCTCCGTCCTCTTGGATGACTCAGGAGAATGGATCTTTTCAAACGCATTACAGGGGCCTGTGGAAAGAAAAATGGTTTTAAAAGCATGATGAAATTAAAAGGAAAACAAAAGAAAACTCCTGGCATCTGTGCTCTGAAACATCATCCAACTCCTATGGTAAGTGCGTCAAGCACGGCCTTTCACTTGGGAGTGCTTGTGGTCCTGGCAGTCTTCCCGCCTTGAAACCAGAGAGAACCAGCCCTATGCCCAGGTCACTGAGTAATGAAGCTTATGTTGCTGCTACCGACAGTGATTTTGCCCTGACCACGAAACGTTATAAGAAAGAACCAGATTTCTATGAGAAGCCACAAAGACTTGAATTTCAGAAGGTGAAAGTTTTTTTTTCCTTTGGAGGATACCTTATTATTATTACTCCAACTGTTCTTTTCTAGACAAGTGTATGAAGCCTAGAAAACATTTTAAAGCTGTAATTATAGGAGGCTAGCCCATGCTAAATGGAGTATGATAAGCTTCTTGCTATAGCTGGGCCTCCAAAGTTGTGATCGGGTCAGAAGAGAAGGAATTAACCTTTTATAATCTGAAAATTGGGTTCTGAAGCTGATTTTTGCCTTTTAAAAGGATTTTTTTTTTTTTTGGTCTTCAAGTCTTTAGAACATAGACGAGCTCAGATGTAAGATTTCTTGTGACTATGTGTCTAAGTATTTCTACTGACCTTTTTCAGTCAAGAATCACTAGAGAGAAGAACATCTTAATCAGCAGTGACAGTGATGATTCACAAACACAAATAGAGGGTTTTTTCTCATTAAGTAATTGAAAATATTTTTTATAGTGATCAGTGAAACTCATGTCTCAGTTCTAGAGGTCAGAATTTACCTGCTATTCTTCCCTAATCTAATGCACCTCTGTAGGAAAGTACCTAGTATTTTCAGTAGGCTCTCTGGTTTGAAATGATAATAAGACCTGCCATTTTAAAGAGAAAAGTCACTGATGATTTATTGGGGATTAGGTAGGTTCCATTTATCTGGGTGGTGATGCTGAAATGCGGAAGGAATATGAGATATATTTCAGCCAAAATGGCCTCTGATAATGTTCAACAAAGTATCCACCTGTCTTTCTGGTGGTCCAACAAAGGATGTCACCATGTTTTTAGTTTTAAATTTTTGTTGTAGTTTTGATTTGGCTCAGCTTCTAACTACAAGCACATGTGGATTTGACTCAATTGGCGGCTCAACCTGGCCTTGGAGTCACCTGGTAACCAAGAAAATGTTTGCTTATCTGTACAGTGAGGGCTTTTCTGAGGTCCTTTCCTCAGTTTCAGCCAGTGTTCTGTCTCCTGCTGAATAAGCTAGTCAGAGGCATAAAGGAGAAGGAGAAAGAAAGGAAAGTAGAAATGAGGAATATCTTACTGCTTTCTTCTTTTTTTCTTTTAAGCTCAATTCTGATTGACAGTAAAAAAGAGGTGGCTAATCTACTTCATTATTTCTTTTACACCTAAGAAGGCTATATGAACATTGTTTCTTGGGCTCATGAAGGAAAAATGTCTCAAACGCTCTCTCATTTCCCTCAACAGCGGAAACACTGTCTCTAGGATTATAGACCAGCATACAAATGGTAAGTTGAGAGAAAGATGTATTGGGGTGGGATACCAGCAACTTTACTACAGGACTAGACCTGCAGGGATGTGTATCTCTTTTTTAATTTCCTCAAAAACTAGAGTGCTGTACATTGAAGACAAATTACCGGTATACTGCATCGGTGTGGTAATGATTCAGCTGACTGGGTCAATAGAAATTTCTTCCAATAGAATAGGAAGGTACTTTCAGAACTACTAGTTAAATGGTTTTCTTTTTTATTAACTCAGTGCCGGAAGGTTATATGCAATGGCCCTTAAGTTAGTTGCACATAAGCACACATGCCTCTTTAATATGGATTTCTTATTTACAAGTAAAATTTTGGTAGGTATAAGCCTACAGATTGTGTTTAAAAAGTTACATAATTGGAATTTGGCACAGTTGAGAGTTGCTCACTCCTTGAACAACAGAAAAACAACTTTTATCATATTTTCAGAATTCACAGAGAAATATAATTTTAAATATTGGGCCCTGGTTAAGTTTTTCAACATTAAAACTCAACACAGTTGAAAATAGTACCCCATTAAGGTTTTAAACGGTCAGTCTTGATCCTTTTTAATTTGAAATGTTTTACTTTCAGCATATAATACGCAAACAACCTTATCATTAATACTCAATCTGACACCTTTAGTGTGGCCAGATGCGAGCAGAGCAGCATCTCTGTAGAACTTAATACTCTCTGAATTAAGAAAACTGTCCATAATCAGTCTAGCTACGTTGTAGATAAAATGTAACCCCATCTCTCACGGCCTTAGCATTTACAGGAAAATTCATTAAATTAGCTCCAGAAAGAAAGGCAAAAGGGCATATTTCTCTACATTGATGGAAATCATAGATTTTTTTTTTAAACCGACACTCTAAGAGCCAGGGATGGATGGGATCCCACTTTCTAAATGTCTATACATTGGAGACAGGATTGATAGTCTTATTAGTCTGTCCCTTGTGCACTTAAAACATCCCAAGTTTCTGGTGCTAAAAGATTTATACATCATTTTATATTTATAACTCATTTCTATTCATTACTCTTCAGGGTAGTTCAAGAAGGTTGTTCTGCTACTGGCTCCAGGTTTAAGAGAAGACAACAGCCACTGAGAGATTATGTGATGGGATAAAGGCTTGAAAGTGGCAGCAGTAGGATTATAAGTAGCTGAGTTTTCATTGTCCCTTAAAATATATGGTCAGAAGTGAAAGAGAAACTTTGGAGATTAAGACGATTTTTCTCAGATTAAATTTCCCCAAACCTTGGTAGCTAGAAGTTTAGCCACTATTGTTAGACCCTTAGGAGCCTACACTTGCCATTGGAGGTCTCCGTGGGGCTATGTGTTGTGGCTACTAAATTAGGGGAGTAGGTAGACGAGATGGTTGCTGTTTATCAGCCCTGAACCCTCTCTCCATGTCATCATTCCCTGATGCCGTATATTTAAAGATGGAAAGAAGAGGCCAACATAATAATAGAATATTAAGAGCTAACTATCAGGAAACAAAATGTAACTGATTTTCATCCACTCTCAAGTAAGAGAAAACACGTGGGTGCTACATTACACTGATTACCTTAAAACTTACTATGCTGGAAATTTCACAGAAAAGGAAAGTTAACCATCACCATTTCTTCCAGTAAGAATGGCTTTGCTCCCATGTATGTGCTTTTGGGAGCAAAACACCATGAAATTGTCTTGGCATTGTTTCTAAAAATATTTTTTCTGAGGATACTGTTCTGTGAAGTTGAAAAAACTTTAATTGCAGTAAAATACACATAACATAAAATTTACTATCTTCACCATTTTTAAGTGTACAGTTCAGTTGTGTCAAGTAAATTCATATTGTTGTGCAACCAATCACCAGAATGTTCATTTTGTAAAACTGAAACTCTGTATCTATTAAACTACAAGTCCCCATTCCTCTCTCCTCCCAGTCCCTGACCACCACCATTCTATTTTTTGTATCTATAATTTTGATTACTCTAGATACCACATGTAAATGGAATCATACATTATTTGTGGTTTTTTTGACTGGCTTATTTCACTTAGCATAATGTTATCAAGGTTCATTCATGTTGTAATATGTGTCAAAATTTCCTTCCTTTTTAAGGCTAAATAACAATCCACTGTATGTTTGTAACACGTTTTGTTTATCCATTCATCCGCAGATGGACAGTTGGGTTGCTTCCACCTTTTGGCTATTGCGCACAATACTGCTATGGACAGGGTTGTACAAATATCTATTTGAGAGTCTGCTTTCAGTTATTTTGGGTATATACTTAGAAGTGGAATTGCTGGATCATATGGTAATTCTATTTTTAATTTTTTGAGAAACTGAAAATCTGTTTTCCATAGTGGCTGTACCATTCTACATTGCTACCAGTGGTGCACAAAGGTTCCAATTTCTCTACATCCTTACCAATGTTATGTACTTTAAAAAAATAGTAGCCATCCTAATGGGTGGGAGGTAGTATTCCACTGTGGCTTTGATTTGTATTTAACTAATGATTAGTGATATTGAGCATCTTTTTATGTGCTTGCTGGCTTTTTAAAAAAAGTATCTTCTTCGGAAAAATGTCTATTCTAGTCCTTTGCCTGTTGTTAACTCAGGGTTGCTGTTGTTGTTGAGTTCTGTGTAGTTATGTGGTAAAATGATCTCATGGCCAAAGAGTTTGGGAAATCTTGATTGTTTTATCACCTTCTTAAAAACTTGTAGTATATCTGTATCATGTTAAAAGCTCTGAAAATTACTTTGGTAAAGAAAGCTGCTAACTCTGTGTAACACAGTATTTTACATACATAACTACTGTGGAACCATTTTGCACTGAACACTTACTCTTATCTTGAGCCAGTGGGTAGCCACTGAATGCAATTTGTGAACGGCTCTTCTAAGGACTTAAAAAAATAGTTCCTAAAGAAACATTTCCATATGAGAAGGAATAGCTGTTGTAGCAGGCTTCATCATGCTGTGTCTCCTACCCAGACAAGCTTTTCTCTTTCATCACTTTGCAGATATTTACTGAGTGCTGACTCAGTGATGGGGATATGGAAAAAATTAGCTTTAGCCACTTACTTCAAGAATCTTGATGGGGAGGTAAATAATTACAGCAGAATTTGGTAAAGATGCTGTGATAATGGTAACACACATTATCTTAGGTTGTTTGGTCACAAGAAACAGAAAGCAAATCAAATGAGCTTTAGCAAAAGAGAGCACTGTGTTATAAGGATACAGAGATGTCTCATGAAACTCAAGGGCAGGAATGCAGCCAGTTTAAGGAAAGACCTGGAAAACAGCCAGAACTCTCTATCTGTCCTGTCTTTCTCTCTGAGGGTCTGTATAAATCTTCTACTATGCACAATATTCTTTTTAAATGACTGCCACAAAGCTTTTTACTTTACATACTATAGTTGTTTGCACTTGCAGGGAATATTTTGTTTTTTTAAGTTCTAGTTTTAAATTCCAAGGAAAGAGAGTGGCTGACTCCACATGTATCAAGTTTCTATACATGGTTCAGTCAATCGTGGTCAGTGGGATGGAGTCACTTATCAAAAGACGGCTGCTATGCACCTCACATCCTCTCCACTTTCATCTCCTGTCACTTCCTGCTCATACCAATAATGACTGTCTATTGAGAAAACCAAATATAATAAACATAAAAGCTTGATATTGACAAGGTCATTCTG